TCCCTTGTTGTGCCTCCGCGCTCTATTATAATCTCCGGGTACGAGTTATTTCGAAAGTGAACACGACAAATACAATAATTGTTTAGTTTATTAATATCTTTTGATAATTAATCTGCAACAATTTAATAATTTTCGATGAATTATATTAATCGAATATAGAATTAGGAAATATACAGTTTCTTCGAAAGATGGTAAGCTTGATTTAATGATATGTAGTTACAGTTAGCTTGCTGGATTTATAATTTTTTTTTTTTTTTTTTTTTATTTTTAAGAAAAAAAAGATATAGATCCGAAGCAGAAAGCTCATAGTATCATTGATTCTTTACCCGGCAATTCCTTGCTTACTAAAACGGGCTACATTACCGTGGGCACGGGATTAGTAACTTTAGCTATTTCAAAAGAATTATATGTATTCAACGAAGAAACTGTAGTGTTATTGGCCTTTATTGGTCTTGTGGTTCCTCTCTATCGTATGCTCAGACAGCCCTTCAATGATTGGGTTGAGGGACAAAAGAATGTAGGTATTACGTAGATTACAGAGTAGAAACTGATAAAGGAATTTAGCAACGATAATTTGCAAAAGTGTTCTATTATTGTATTCTTTTATTGATATTTTTAATTTGTATAAAGCGTGTCAATAGCATCCTCGATCAAGCTCAGGAAGATCATAAAGACGCTGTCAAAGAAAGAATTGACACGATTGGTCAGCTAGGAGATATTGTTGATATCACAAAAGCATTGTTTGCTATGTCCAAGGTAACATATATTTTTCGGAGTACAATACTATGCTTTCTTTGAATTGTTTACTTATAATTTACTATTTTTTATTATTTTTTATTATTATTACGAAGGAAACTGCAAGATTGGAAGCCGAAGCCTTTGAATTGAAACAAAAATCTGCAGCTGCTGCTGAGATAAAAGCTGTTTTAGATTCGTGGGTGCGTTATGAAGCCTCGCTACGTGAACGTGAACAAAAAGCACATGCTAGTTATGTTATGGAACGTGTGATGGCTCAATTACGAGATGAAAAAACGGTAAGGCTGTTAAACGTATCTAGTGATAATAAAATTATTTGGTTTATTCATTCGAAAAAAATGGATGGTTTATTTATAGCAACAAGAGAT